GCAGGTGTGCGGCGTGAGGCGTGTGAGGCAGTGCAGCAGGTGTGTGGGGTGAGGTGTGTGGGGGTACAGCAGGTGTGTGTTGTGAGGGGTGTGAGGCAGGTGTGTGGTGTGAGAGGTGTTTCAGGTGTGTGCTGTGAGGGGTGTGAGGCAGTGCAGCAGGTGTGTGGGGTGAGGTGTGTGGGGGTACAGCAGGTGTGTGTTGTGAGGGGTGTGAGGCAGGTGTGTGGTGTGAGAGGTGTTTCAGGTGTGTGCTGTGAGGGGTGTGAGGCAGTGCAGCAGGTGTGTGGCATGAGGCGTGTGGGGGTATGGCAGGTGTGTGGTGTGAGGGGTACGGCAGGCGTGCGGCAGGCGTGCGGCGTGAGGCGTGTGAGGCGGTGCGGCGCTCCCACTGCCGGGCCGTCTCTGCGCCCTGCTCCCGGCTCTGTTTCCGCTGAAAGCCAGGCCCACTCCCGCGTCGGGCTGTTCTGGACCGCTCTGCGCTTGGTGGTCCCGCTGCTGCGCCCGCCCCCATCGGAGGGTGTCTCTGGAGTCTTCTCTGGTCCCTCCCTCCGCGTCTTCGCGGCAGTCCCCAGCCCCCACACCAGGTCCCTCCCGGATGGCGCTGGTGTGTCCCGTGCTCCCGTCCCTGGATGGCGCTGGTGTGTCCCGTGCACCCGTCCCTGGATGGCGCTGGTGTGTCCCGTGCTCCTGTCCTGGGTGCAGAATGACCTGAGGGTGAGCAGGGGCTGGCGCTCCTGGGACAAGTGCCCCAGCCCTGCACGCCTGAGAACGCACGGATAGTCCGCGCCCTTGGGAGCCCCAGGTGCCTAACTGCGCAGTGCTGAGCCAGAGGCAGAGGCAGTGTTCATTCCTGTTTAAAAATCTCCTCCATGGAGGAGTGATAGACACACTGCAAACGTTGTGCGCAGTTTTGGCACATGTGAGCGCCCACGTGGGCAGGCCCGCACCGTGGGGCTACATGAGTGTCTCCAGAGCGCCCCCCCCCCGCCCTGGTCAGGCCCAGGTGGCCGCTGGCTTCCCCGGGGCTCCTCCTCAGCAGAGCCAGAGGCGCACCTCTGTGGGTTTCCACTCCGTGGATGCTGCTGTCCGTCCACCGTGGGAATCCATGGCTCCATCTTGTTATGGCCAAGTGGGCCTTCCCTGAGTGGCTGCAGTCCGGTTTCTTTTCACTCTTCTCGGTGGACATTGGAGTGTTTCGAGTTGTGGGCTGTTCTGAACGAGGCTGGCGGGGACACAGGACGCCGGCATTCGTGTGGACGCTGCCTTCGCCCTCCTTGGGGATATCTGGAGGTGGGATCGCTTTCCGACCAGGTAGAACCTCTGCTCATCACAGCGCACATTGAAGAGGTAAGTAGGCTGCTGACGGAGAGAAACACTTCGAGCTTGCTTTTAGGATGGAAGGCACCACAAGTCGGTGTTGAAAGGACAACCTGATGGAAATTGGGCGGAGAGCTTTGTGTGTTTGCTCAAAATGCAGACGGGGAGGGCGTGTGGCGCAGTCACCTCCTGGGATGCCCACTGCCCGTATTAGGGTGCCTGGCCCCTCCGGTCAGATCGAGCCTGGCTCTGTGTGTGCTCTGGGAAGGCAGAGGACGACGGCCCAGGTGTCTGGACCCTGCCCGTGTGGGAGTGACGGGCGTAGGCAGGCAGCCAGCCAGGGCTGCTGAGCTGAAGGTCACAGTCGCATGGATAATCCCACCTTCCTGCTTGTCAGTCACAACGTCCCCTTTCCCAGGATGCATCTGTTTCACCCATGACCTAGAGGGGGCATGATAAACGGATGCCGAGGTCCCAGTGGAGCTTGTGGAGGGGGCTTCACGCCTGGAGGGGCCCCGCCCCACCTCATACCGCAGACCGACCACTGGGAGGGGCCCTCTCCCACCGAGGCTGTCTCTTCTCAGGCTATCTTCCGGGCCTCTGCCCACTCCTGATGGCTGCTTCTGGTTGGGCAGCCCATGTTCACGCACGCACGCGCGTGTGTGTGTGCACTTGCCCACCTCGTGAATAAACTTCATCACTTTGCGCACCTTGTACATGTCAGCATGTTTGTCCTTGTGCATGACGAGAGCCTGGAGCAAAATGGATACTCCCCTGGCCCCCTTCAGGAGACCCTGGTGGAGTTTCTGGCTCCTGGCTCTGGCCTGGTACAGCTCACTCACTCACTCTCGCTCTCGCTCTCTCGTGCTCTGTGTCACTCTGCCTTTGAAGTTGATGACAACAAAACAAGGACAAGAAAAGGGGCACAGGTGGCCAAGTGCCCTGCGTCCTTGGTCATCAGGGAAACGGAAAACCAATGTGGTGACGCACGCTGACCGTGGCTGACGAGAGTGTTCCGACAGCCTTGGAATCCCACAGGCACCCCAGGAATGCTGCCCAGCACGCCCCTGTGTCTTGATGCCGTCCTGGCTTGGCTGGCGTCACCTGGTGATCTTGTGCCGGCCAGGGTCTGTGTGGTCCACGTTACTCTGGGGCTGACTTGGGAAAGCGGTCATTGCTTAAAGGCTGAGCCGCAGTGTTTTAACACTGGTGTGGGGTTCGTGGATGAGAAATAAAAAGGAGGCTTTGGTCGAAAGAGATGAGCTGAGGGGCTGGCAGCCCCGGGACGGCGGTGGGGATGTGGACTGACTGCCCCATGTCCTGCTCTGAGCGCACACTCATGTCACACAGCCCTAATCCCAGGCCCTCCTGGTGTGAGAGTGGGCTGAAAGGTGCCCACAGCAGGTAGCAGTGGACAAGGTGCCTGGAGGCAAAACTGTCAGCTCAGGGCCCTGCAAGACTGGCCTAGCCCTGTGGCTGTGCTGTGTGTGTGTCGGGGGGCAACCCTGTAAAGGATCGGTCATATCCACAGTTGTCTCAGATGTTGGGGAGGGACTGGGGCTGGTTCCAGTGCCCAGGGAAGGGCCCATGGAGGGACACGGTGTCCACTGTGATGCCAGGGGCATGTCTCTGGACACATGCACGCCAGTTTTACCCAGTGGGAGGTGGTCTCAGCTTCAGTTCATGCTGGGTCTCTGTTGGCCACAATAGCTTTGGGCTGGGCTGGGCCAGCCAGGGTTAGCCCTGTCCCAGTTGTGTGTGTGTGGTGGGTGTGGGGTCAGAGCCTACTGCCCCGCAGCAGCTGGGATGCCGGCTCCGCCCGACGCTGCCTTCCCGCTGAGCGGCAGTAGATTGGCTTTGCTCTTCACCTCACTGTCTGCAAGCTGTGGGGCCCACGTGAGTCTCAGTCACACCTCTGACCACGTCTGAGAGAACCCCAGCTGCCCCTGGGGGACGAGGGGAAAAACTCTCCAAGCAAAGTCCGTGAAGGGTCGGTACAAGAGAGCGGGCCTGGGCAAATGTATGGCTACCAATACCCAAGGAGAAACGGCCCCGTGTGCTCAGCTGCTTTGGGGAGACGTGAGGAGGCCAGGTGCAGGTGGCAGCGTGTTGTGGGTGGGGGTGTCTCACCAGCCTACGGTGTGGACAGAGCCTCCCCCTCCCTCTTATTTGTCTGGTCGGGGGCTTCCTGCCAGGGCTGAGGCTTTGGTGACCTGGACCAGGCACCAGGATGTTGCAAACACCTCCCTGAAGCCATCAGACTCCGTGGTTGGCAAACCCTGGGGCCGGGGGCTGTGTCTGGTATCTGTGCTGCCGGGGACCCTGGTCTGAGTCTCCAGCAGGGACCTCCATGGCCAGCTCTCCTGCAGCCTCTCATGGGCAGAGTGGGGCCTACCGCTCGCGTCTCCTCCTTCCCTAGCCGCGTTCCAGGTGATGGATGTGCAGGGGGTAAGGGTGGTTTGGCACCAGGGTGAGCAGCAGCTGCAGAGGGGCAGGAACCTGAGAGGCAGGTCTGGTTTGAATCGGGGTTGGAGGAGGCAGGACTGCACCTGCAGAGCGCTGAGCCCTGACCCAGAGGAGGGAAGGGGGTCATGGACCAGCACGGTGACCCCCGCTGCACCCCACACCTCTTGGCAATCCGTTCCTCCCTCCCGCCAGTCATCATGGACCTGTCCACATGCCAGGCTCTGTCTGGAGCACTGGGACTTGGTGACAGCCTTTGCCTGCTCTCCTGGGGCTGAGTCCCTGCAGGCTGCCACTGAGTCCCTCTGGGTGGCCACAGGGAGTGCCCGGAGTTGTCAGTCAGACAGGGCTGCGCTCCCAGGCCAGGATTAGGGGCCAGGTCGTCGAGGAATCCTCTCGCCTCAGTTCATGGAGTGAGCAGAGCCGTGCATCAGACCCCCCTTGATACCTGAACCCCGGGGTGGGCAGAGCCTCCCGCTAACCGGAAGCCTTCTGCGAAGGGAGCTGCAGGAGGTGGCTGCAGCCTGGCATGGGCCCTGCCCCACCTCTGCGTCGGGCTGAGTCTGGGTCAGCCTGTAGCGTGGCACCGTCCGGGTCTGAGAAGGGCCAGGCTGCCAGAGCCGGCAGGGCCACTCAGGCCTCCCAAGTGGCTGTTTCTGCCCCCTTGCCCTGAGCACCACCCTGGGTTGGCGGCAAAGGCAGAGACGACTCCTTCCAGAATGTCTGTGCTGCCCACACTCGAAGCTGAGCCTGCTCAGGAAAGCTCTGTGGGCTCCTGGCTGCCCAGGGCCTGGCCTCGCTCCTTCCCTGCAGCTGTCCGTCCACCAGGCACCAGGCTGCAGAGAAGGAGATGCAAACCCCGGCTCCCCAACCCCCGGGGCCTGGGAGAGGATGCAGCTGTGGTGGGAGACGGGTGGGGGTGCACACAGAGAGCTCCTTGCTCTGCCACTTGTCCCAGTGGTCGTCCCTGTGCTCAGAGGCCACCTGTCTGAACGGGACAGGTGCAGGCCTGAAATGGTGTCTTTCGAATGAGCGAAGTTGTCATCGCCATCACACACGTTTGTCTGGCAGGCTCACTGCCACTGCTGACAGTAGGGTCCCTGACCTCCCCGGCGCACAGCTGGAGTCCTGTGAGGGCAGGGGCTGCCAACCCCTGTGGGCCGGCACTGGGCCCGTGGACTCCATGACTTTCCCTGCTCCGTCAGAACTATCAGGGACAGGCATTCTCTGTGAGTTAGAAGACGCTCCAAATATTCATGTGACCTCAGCTTCTATTAAATTTCTTTTTCAAGATTTATTTATTTTACTTGAAAATCAGAGTTGCAGAGAGAGAAGGAGAGACAGAGACTCTCCATCTGCTGGTTCCTTCTCCAAATGGCCACAACGGCCGGGCCAAAGCCAGGAGCTTCATTCGAGTTTCCCACGTGGGTGCAGGGGCCCAAGCACCTGGGCCATCTTCTGCTTTCCTAGGCCATTGGCAGGGAGCTGGAGGGGAAGTGGGGCAGCTGGGATGTGAACTGGCGCCCACCTGGGATGCTGGCGTCGCAGGCAGCGGCTTTACCCACTGTCCACAGCGCTGGCCCCTCGGTTGAATTTCTATTCAGAAAAGTCCCTGCTGTGAAGCGGGGGGCGCCTCCCCTTTCGTGCAGATGCAGGGGTCTGCAGAGGAAAACGAATGAAAGTGGGAGCACGCTCATTCTTTCACTCCGAGAGCAACGGACAGAAGAAACACTTTCCCGTTAGGAACTGTTATTTTAGGAAGGCAATAAAAAAGAATACAAAAGCAAACACACAGACCTTTTCGACTTGAAACTGTGTAGATACATATTCACTGACTTTGTAACAGAGGTACTGAGCTAGAACCCTGGCTTTATCAGTGCACCTTGGTGGGTTCTGGGGACCTGTGCTGGGGAGCCAGTTCCTAACAGACCCGGGAGGCCCCTCCCAGACAGATCCCCACCCCCGCCCAAGGCCGCCCCCGGACCTGGCACGGTTCCTGAATCCGGGCCTCCACACTCACGATGGTGTGCTGCTTGGGCGTGTGCTGAGCAAACCGCACCCTGAATCTGTCATTCTCTGCTCCCAGCTTCAGTGTTCTTTGGAAGTATACAAAGTGTGCACAGACCCAGATTTCTTAAATACTCACGATTATGTGTCATTTTTGAAGAGTTAGTTCATCTGTATCTAACTGGGTATCCGTGTTGCCTATCTCTTGGTTTCTCAAATTGCTCAGCTGAGTGTGCACAGAAAGGCTGTCTTGTTCCCCACGGGTGTGTAATTGGCTCCCACTGTGTTCAGTTTTGTAGTGAGATGACAGGAGCAGGTGTAGGAGCCGCCGTGACTGTCTCGTGGTTCTCACGCCTAACCGGGCTCAAGTGCTCGGGCAGCAGGGGCAGCCGGTGACCTGAACGGACTCTGAGTTGTGCCCTGCAGACCCAGGGGACGTGGGTGGGAGAGCACAGGTGTCAGTGTCTTCCCTGAAATACATAAAGGGAGACCTCTCCCCGCGCCGGGTGAGATTCTCTTTCCTTTAGAGGATGGGAGTCCACCTTGCGCTTTGCTTGTCA